GTAAGGACATAGTCCTTGGTGCCACGAAGGTACCGGAGGACACGCTTGGCGGCCTACCAGTGCTCTTCCGTATGCTTGCCTGCGCCAACAAAACGAGCGAGGACGCTGATGGGGTAGGCAAGGTCAGGGCGAGTGGAGACCATGGCGTACATGAGGGAGCCGATGAGCTCGGGATAAGGATGGGAGGAGGCTGAGGGGGAGGTGGGTTGAGAGAGGTGGTGCCCGACAGAAAGAGGAGTAGGTTGGGCGCCACCGCGGACCATGTCAAACCGCTCCAAGACCTGCTGCAAGTAATGACCCTGGAAGAGAGAGATGGTGCGGGCGGAGCGGTCGCGGGTGATGGTCATGCCCAGGTAATGCTGCAGCTCTCCCAAGTCCTTGCACTTGAGTCGGCTACCCAGCTCAGCCTTAACACGTTCCAACTCAGCAAGGTCGGCGGTGAGTAGAATCATGTCATCGACATATACAAGGATGTAGAAAGGGGAGGGGGAGGTGCGGAGGAAGAGGCTGGCGTCGGAGCGGGAGGTGCGAAACCCAAGTTCACCAAGGGTGGCGGCAAGCTTAGCATGCCACTCTCTAGGGGCCTGTCGGAGCCCATACACAGGTCGACGCCTTGTAGGAAGGCGTTAGAAACGTCCATCGAGTGGATCTCCATATTGAGGCGAGCGGCGAGGTCGAGCACGGCGCGAACAGTAGCAGGCTTGGCAGTAGGGGAGAAGGTATCGAAGAAGTCAAAACCATACCGCTGCGTGAACCCCTTGGCGCAGTAACGAGCCTTATAGACGGGCGGCTCCCCTGGCAGTTGCTTGACGCGAAACACCCACTTTCCTTTCACCACGTTCGTAGGGGCGGGAGGGCGAGGCACATCGACAAAAGAGGAGTTGCCGATAAAGGCCTCCAGCTCCTTGATGATGGCGGCGAGCCATAGCGGAGCGTCAGGGCACGCCATTGCCTCCTCGTACGTGGTAGGAACGAAAATAGAGGGAGCAGAGGAGAAGGCGAAGACAGGTGTGCCGGAGAGATCGAACGTGATGGGTAGAAGCAAGGAGTCATAAAGGTGGAGGTCAAGGAACTCCTCATGCGAGTCCTCGGAGAGGGAGGTGTGGAAGAAGCGGATGACCGTTGGTGCCGCTGCACGTGCCGCTGCTGGTGCCGCTGTTGATGCCGCTGCTGGTGCCGCTGCTGGTGCCGCTGCTGGTACCGCTGCTAGTGCCGCTGCTGGTGCCGCTGCTGGTGCCGCTGCTAGTGCCGCTGCTGGTCCCGCTGCTGGTCCCGCTGCTGGTGCCGCTGCTGGTCCTGCTGCATGTGCCGCTGCTGGTCCTGCTGCTGGTGCCGCTGCGGGTGCCGTTGCGGACGCTGCTGCTGGCGCCGCTGCTGGAGAGGTGGCAGAGGGGGCTGCTGCAGGAGGAGGTTGATGCAGAACAGCCTGGAAGAAGTGGTGAAGGTGAGGGGAGAGTGGGGGGAGGGTAGAGGTAGAGAGGGTAACAGGGGGCGGTGCACCAAGGATACTGTCACGTGACCTGGTATGGGGGTACCGGGTAAGTACGGTGCGGGGAGGGGGGGAAGGACGAGTCGGCGGCGAGGGAGGTGAAGGAGGGGCGGGAGGGGCACTAGGAGAGGAATGTGTGGGGGAGACGGGAGAGGACAGAGGTTCCGGGTCAAATATATCACCAGACGAGGGAGGGGCACCGTGGGACGACGGTGGGGGGGGGGGGAGGGAGGATGGGGGGAGGAGGAAGTAGTGGGGGAGGGGTGGTGTCAGACCAGACAAGGGGACGGGGAAGACGGGGGAGTGGGTCAGTGGATGGGGGAGAGGAGTAGTAGGGAGTGGACTCATCAAAGACCACATCCCTACTGCGGAATAGACGACCTGAGGGGGGATGGAGGAAAAGGTAGTCAGGTGAGGAGGAGTTATGACCGAGAAAGATGCAGGGAAGGGTACGAGGGGCAAGTTTTCCCATAGAGCGGGAGCGGTCAGTGGGGTGAAGGAGAACATAGGCCTTTGAGCCCCAGACACGAAGAGACGAGACATCAGGTTTGTTGTTCGTCCACAGCTCAGTGGGGGTGGTGGATGGGAGAAGAGGGTGAGGGTAAAGGTTAGTAAGGAGGGCGGCATGAAGGAGGGCGTAGCCCCACAGAGAAGGAGGGCAGGAGGCGTGGACAAGAAGACACCGGGCAGTTTTGGTGATCTCTCGAACACGACTTTCAGCCACACCGTTCTGCTGTGGGGAGTGAGGGAGGGTGTAAGTCTGAAGAATGCCATGAGACTGACAGTAGGAGGATATTTGGTTGTTAAGGAACTCACCACCACCATCAGAGTGAAGATGGCGAACAGGGCGCCCAAAATGGGTATTTGCCCGCTCGAGCCAGGCGATGATCGCAGCCGGGGCATCTGCCTTCGTCCGAAGGAGAGAGACGGACGAGTACCGACTGTGATCATCGACGAGTACGAGGAGGTATCGATGGCCCTGGCGAGTGGGAGAGGGATTGGGGCCCCAGAGGTCCATGTGAACAAGATCAAGTGGCTGCGCAGCAGCGGAGGGGGAGCTCCGGTGCGGCTGCTGCTTGAGCTTGCTCTGAACGCAGACGATGCAGGGGGGGGCAGGGGATTTGGGGAGGGGAGGGAGGGAGGAGGGGAGACCGTGGAGGAGACCAGTGGAAACAGAGGAGCGTAGAGTAGCGAAGTTAGGGTGACCTAGCCTGTGATGGAGGAGGACGGCAGGGTGGGAGAGGGAGCGACAGGAGCAAGAGGAGTCAAGGGGGGGGCGGGAAGGGAGGTCCGGGTTAGTGGGAGGGAGAGGAGGAGGTGGGATGAGAGGGTGGAGGGGGGGACGAGAGATGACCTGACAGGAGGGGAGGCGAGGAACCCGAAGGGTGTACAGACGGGAGCGAGGGCAAAAGGGAATGCGAGAAAGGAACTGACCGGTGGCGGAATGGTAGAGAGCGCAATAGTTAGCATGAGCTGGGAATACTGTGGTGATACCGGCTTGCTGAAGGGACCTTTGCGAAAGGAGATTAGCGCGAAGAGAGGGTATGTGGAGACCAGTGACAGTGCCTGAGGGGAAGAGTGGGCAGGGGAGAGTCGAGGTGTTATGGCAGGGGATAGAGAAGCTGCTGTCGGCACCAAGGAGGGAGGTAGGCGTTGGGAGGGGGCGCAAGGTGCCAGCATCGCGAAGAACTGTGTCAGTGGCGCCGCTGTCGAGGACAAAATCGACAGTGGAGGAGAGGGAGGAGGAAGGGACAGAGGACTGGAACGCAGTTTCGT